AGGGAGGGAGGGAAGGAAGGGGGAGGAAGGGAGGGAGGGAAGGAAGGGGGAGGAAGGGAGGGAGGGAAGGAGGGAAGGAGAGGCATTAAAGTAATGATCTTTGACCAAGGTCAAGCTTCAGTGCCAAGATCTCAACTTAGATGGCTAGGTATGGGCAGATTTATTTATCTATTCATTAACCCATCAGGTTGTTTTAACAAATACTATAATCTACTGTGGGCATATAAGCACACAGTAAGGCACGATGAATGAGGCTGCTCCATTTTCCTGATGTTAGTGCCTGTTAGTAAGGCTATTCCTGGCCACATTGGAATGCTGTAGGATAAGGGCTCTCCCCACATCTGACTGTGTGTTGCCCTTTCCTCCAGACCCCAGTCCGGTGCCCTCCTCCTCCAGCACCTACCACGCCATCATCGGCGGGATCGTGGCTTTCATTGTCTTCCTGCTACTCATCATGCTCATCTTCCTTGGCCACTACTTGATCCGGCACAAAGGTCAGAGGCACAGGGAGAGCATCAGCAGAACCTGGGAGGGGCAGGGAGGCCAATCAGAGGCGGGCAGGATGAGAAGCCGACAGTGGAAAGGGCCTTCGGAGACTTGTCAGCCCTTTGGAGTGTTTAGCGAAGAAAAAACGAAGCCAGCCCTATCATTGCCAACCCTGTGATAGCTGAGCACCACCAACCCAGCAGTAAAGCCTGATCACTTGGGGATTGGCCAAGTGAAGTCAAACCTTCCCACTCAGTCAGCGGTTGCTCCCATGCTGCTCTACCTCCAGGTCTCCTGCTGCAAGACAGACAACTCCTGAAACTGCAGCCCCATCTCATTGCTTCCTGCACTTTCTTCCTTTCTATCTGTTTAACTTCATTTTCTTTCTCCTTTGATCTCATTGCCTTTCTTTTCTCTCCCCGCTTTTCCTACCTTCTCTCCTTTATCCATGCCTTCTCTCTACTCTCCTCCCATGTTCTTCCTCTCAGACTTCTGGCTCTGCTATTAATTCTAGCCTGGAGCCCGACTCCATAGGCTGGTCATACATGAGCCAGATCTCAATTGCCTTGCTCATGAAGCTGGCATAGCAATTCCCCCCCCCATCAAATTGTCTGAACACGCACAGGCATACACACACGCGCGCGCGCGCGCGCGCGCACACACACACACGCACATGCTCACACTTCTCTTTCTTGCTTTGTATTATAGATGAGATTCTACTTAGGGGCAGGATTCATTATTCATGGAGGGTGTGGTCAGGTGAGGGATGTGGGAAGCAAAATGGGAATTAGGTAAGGTGGAGGCAAAGAGAGCTATTGGCAAGAGAAAAATTACTTGAGCAGTGCGTGAGTGGGTGGGTGGGAAAGTGGGCAGGGTGGACTCAGAAGTTGGGAAGCTGCTCCTGAGAGGGGAAGCCTCTGTCTCTACACAGGAACCTACCTGACACACGAGGCAAAAGGCTCCGACGATGCCCCAGATGCGGACACGGCCATCATCAATGCAGAAGGCGGGCAGTCGGGAGGGGACGACAAGAAGGAATATTTCATCTAGGGGCACCCACCCACTTCCTGTGCCCCCCAGGGGCCCCGTGGGGACTGCTGGGGCCGTCATCAACCCGGACTTGTACAGAGCGACCCCAGGGCCGCCCCTCCCGCTTGCTCCCCAGCCCACCCACCCCCTGTACAGAATGTCTGCTTTGGGTGCGGTTTTGTACTTGGTTTGGAATGGGGAGGGAGGAGGGCGGGGGGGAGGGGAGGGTTGCCCTCAGCCCTTTCCGTGGCTTCTCTGCATTTGGGTTATTATTATTTTTGTAACAATCCCAAATCAAATCTGTCTCCAGGCTGGAGAGGCGGGAGCCCTGGGGTGAGAAAAGCAAAAAAAACAAACACAAAACACAACCCTGGAGTGTTAGGGGGAGAGTGAAGGTAGAGGGGTGAGGGAGGGGTAAGGGGCAGGGCTGCTTTGGAGCTGGGGGCTCTCACCACCCGCCTTTCATCCTCTACAACAGAGCAGCTTCCCAGACTTCTCCAGAAATCGTGGGATGGGAGGGTTGTCGGCAAGGGCTGGGCGTGGCTTTTCCTTTGCTAGCCACACACCTAAGCACTACGGACATGGAGGCAGGTGCTACCCTGACCCCTGTCTTCCATAGCAATGGGAAAGTGATGAGTAGGGGAGCCCTGGGGAGATGTGACCGCAGAAGGCAATGCAGCCATGCAGGGACCTAGGCCTTCAACCTGGGGAGGACGCAGGTCCCTGTAAGGAAGAGTAGATTTGGGGAGGAAGGATGGAGGTGGACTGTGGCCCCATTTTCCCACAAATGAACACAGCCGGGCCCTTTCCATAGGAACCGCCCTTGGGGATAGCAGAGTGTGGCTGCCCCTCCTTGCTCCAGCAGTGGTGGGAGAGGCACTGCTCTCGGGCCTGAACCGCCCCTGCTTCCCTGCGCTGAGGGGCCCCTCACTCTTACGCAAGACTCTGGATTGTTGCTCAGCAACTACTCCTCCCACCTTGGCCACCCTGTGTCCCCTTCCTGGTCCCAACATCAGCCCTTAGTCCTTCCTCCCCCAGCAGCCAGGCAGACATAACAACAAATCTACTAAAAGGAGCTTCACTGCACTGAGCTGTTTCCTGCCCAAACTAAGGGAATAATGTGAACTGCGTGCATGTGTGTGGTGTGTGTAGTGTGTATACATGTGTGTATGTGTGTGCATGTGCGTCTGAGTGAGTGAGAGGCAGAGCAAGGGATTGAGGAGGAGGGCCAAGAGCCAGGGGTCCTGGGCAGGTGGACAGGGCTGTGGGACATGTTGGGGGAGGCTTTGGGAATGGGGTCTTCCTAGTAAGGGTTCATGCCTCAGCTGGGAGGTTGTTTCATGCTGGTATTCCCTCTGCCACCCCTGATGCCCATCCGTCTTGGAGAAAGGAGTCCTTGGGTGTGTGTTTGCCCAGCTGTCCATTCCATCTCTCCCTGAAACACAGCATTCAGCCCTTCCCTGGATTTCCCTCTTCTGAGCCATGGAGTCAGTGCCACAGCCTTTGCTATGCACCCCTCAGGCCTCTCCTTGGCATTGACCCTGGAATGACCTACCACCACCTGTTTTTCCCACAGTCTGTACCCAGTGAATTGAGGGCTGGGTCCCCACCCCTCCTTTTGGTTTCCTGTCTTCCTTCTCACGGCCCCAGCTGATTGCCATGGAAATGAGGTTCCTGGTCCTCCCTGTCCTGGCTGGACTGCCCCGCCTCAGCTCCAGGATGCCCTTGGCATCGCTCCCACCCTCCGCCAGCTTTTCCTCCGTGCTCTGACAACGGGCATGCAAAAAGGGGCAGCTGCAATCTGGCAGGTCTGCCCACCCCCTTTCAGTTCAGGTACTACCGTTGTGAATCTTCCAGCTGCTGGTTAGGGCCCTGGGCACCACAGGCAGCCCCTCACCTAAGCCAGGGCCTACTCCTCTTACAACAGCAAGGGAGCCTGGGGCCCCAGGCCTGCTGAGCTTCTTGTCTCCCAGCACCTGCTTTTGGGAAAATGACTTTTCCTCTTCGAGCTGAACCACCCTGTCCATATTACACAGAAGCCATATTTGTACGGGGGGGTGGGAGGGAGAGGGGCTGTTGTGCTGTGTGTGTCTGTCCAGGGAGCGGGGGGTGGGGGAAGGGAGCAGGGAGGGGACCGTGTATCTTTATAATCTTTCTAACTCTCCTGTGCTAATCTCAGAGGGGCCACCCTCAATATATCTGGATTATCCGTGTCATTCGGCTGCCTCCTTTCTGCTCCTCTTGCTGCTGCTGGGATGTGTGTATGTGAGGACTGTTCTTCCCCTAACCCTCGCACATGGTGCCTGGTGCCTCAAAAGGTGGTGTATCCCTTGCCAGGCCACTCTCAAGGATATCTATGTACGGCAACAATATAGCTCTCCAAGGGAGAGAAGTGTGTTCACCTCCTTTTGCTAAGCCCTTCCTTTCCGGAGAGTGTCTTGGGGGGCATCTGACTGCTTCCCCCCACCCTCTGCCAGGCATTGCTGGAGAATATTGAGACGGCGATGGAGGCACCATCACCCCCACCCCGGAGAGCATCACTAGACACCACCAGACTAAATTCACTTTCCAGCCCGTTCATGTCGAACCCGAAACTTGAGCGAGTGACTTGGGAGAAAAGGGGGGAAATCTCTATGAGGTACCCATCCCTCTGCACCTTGGGTCTGAGGTGCTTTGCCCCCCAGGAAGCCCTACATGAATGGGACAGAAGGGCCTTGACAGCTTTGGGATTGAAGCAGCCAATGCTGTCTTGGACAAATGCAACAGCCCTTTCTATCTCATTGCTCTGATTTGGGCACTCCATGGCTCACCACTCCCTACATCCCTGCTATGTCTTCCCAGCTGAGGAAATAAATGCAAAGAGGGGTGATGAAACAGTGGAGATCCTGGGGAAGCAGCTGAGGGGGGCAGGCAGTGGGGAGGGGCCACTAAAAAGAAGTGACATGGGCTTAGGAGACTCCGCCTGCCTGCAGGGTAGATGCCCTTTCTCTCTGCTTGCCAGCTCTGACCCTCGATAAGAAACTTCACATATTGCTAAGATGCCTGGCCAGCGAAGCAGTTCCACAGACTTTATGTAGAAATTTGAAAAGAGATCACCCTGTGGGCAACAGTCCCATTTTAAAATATGCTGTCCCATTGTCCCCTAGAGCCTACTTCAACTTGTCAGACCATGTATTCCACTTCGTATGCACTGCGCTAATAGGTGGCTAGGCAAACACGCAATAGCTCCCTGAGATGGCTTCATCATGCAGCCTCAACAGCCACCCCAACCCTCCCGCCCTCACACTGAAACACCCAGACCTAGAGATAGCCAGACACACAGCAGATGAGCCCCTCACATACAGATATGTGCCCAGTGATACACAGCAGATGTACACAGAGATCGATGCACACAAAGAGCCCATGCCCACCCGCACGCACCCCTCAGGCTAAACAGATTCAACCACTACCACCCTTTCTCCCAAACACATGGCTTTTGAACTGCCTTTCCTTGGATCAGGTTCAAGGGAATGGAGGAGCAGTGAGAGTCAGCTGCCCTTCCACTCCAATTTCCCAGCACCTCCCTTATCTCTGCCTCACAAGTCACCCAGCCCCACTCTTTTCCTTCCTTGTGCTTGAAGAATCTTTATTTGCTGGAAAGCCCCCTGGTTTCTCAACCTCCCTTTCCACTTCGGTAAAATGCCCACTTTCTGGTCCCCACCTTTTTCCTGAGTGTAGTCCTGACCGGTCAAATCCAACCTCAAAACAGGAAACCCTGAGGCCAGTGCCCCCCAATAGGCCTGAGGCTTGTGCAGGCAGTGGGCGTGGGGTAAGACTTCCTGATGCCCCCTGTCCCTGCCCGGAGCCTGGTGGCCCTCATTAGTCCTTGGCTCTTATCTTGGAAGCACAGGCGCTGACAGCCGTCCCAGCCCTTCTGTCTGCCGGCCCTGAACCAAACGGTGCCATGGGGAACTGTCTGCACCAGGTGAGTATGGGACCAGGCCCCAGAGTCCCTTACCCCCATGCCCCTCATTTCCCCTGTGATTTGCCCCTCAGTGTTTATATCTCTTCCTTTTCCTCCTTATTTTTTCTCCCTTCCCTCTTTCTCCTCTTCCTTTAAAGTCTTTCTCCTTCTTCCTACACTAGCCTCCTAGCTCCTTCTTGTGACCTCCCTTTGCCTTTGACTCAGTTCCATCCTGGGCCCCTCGTGCCTTCCCTTCTGACCTTGCACTGCTCCGACATCCCCAGCTGCCCTGGCTTCCCCACGACTGTTCCTGCTCCAGCTCCTCAGGCTCCCAGCTTTGTCCTTTTCCACTGTCCGCATTGGCTCCGACTCCTGCAGAGAGTTCTCCCACCCGACCTTCCTCTTTCCTCTCTGCCCTCCCCTCCCACCTGCCCCTCAGTTCCCAGGAGACTCTCTGGGGTAACTGATGGCCTCCTCTGCGTATGTCCTCCAGGCGGAGCTCTCCCCCTCAACTGAGAACTCAAGTCAGCTGAACTTGGAAGATTTATGGGATTTTCCCTATAATGGGAATGATTCCTTCCCAGAGATCAACTACGATGCCAGCTTGGAAGCAGCTGCCCCCTGCTACTCCTGTAACCTGCTCGACGACTCCTCACTGCCCTTCTTCATCCTCGCCAGTGTCCTGGGCATCCTAGCTAGCAGCACTGTCCTCTTCATGCTTTTTAGACCTGTCTTTCGCTGGCAGCTCTGCCCTGGCTGGCCTGTCCTGGCACAGCTGGCTGTGGGCAGTGCCCTCTTCAGCATTGTGGTGCCCATCTTGGCACCAGGGCTAGGTAACACCCGCAGCTCCGCCCTGTGTAGCCTGGGCTACTGCGTCTGGTATGGCTCAGCCTTTGCCCAGGCTCTGCTGCTAGGGTGCCATGCCTCCTTGGGCCCCAAACTGGGTGCAGGCCAGGTCCCAGGCCTTACCCTGGGGCTCACTGTGGGACTTTGGGGAGCTGCTGCCCTGCTGACAGTGCCTATCACCTTGGCCAGTGGCGCTTCTGATGGACTCTGCACCCCGATATATAGCACGGAGCTGAAGGCTTTGCAGGCCACACACACTGTCGCCTGTTTTGCCATCTTTGTCTTGTTGCCATTGGGTTTGTTTGGAGCCAAGGGGGTGAAGAAGGCGTTGGGTATGGGGCCAGGCCCCTGGATGACTATCTTGTGGATCTGGTTTATTTTCTGGTGGCCTCATGGGGTGGTTCTGGGACTGGATTTCCTGGTGAGGTCCAAGCTGTTGCTATTGCCAACATGTCTGGCCCAGCAGGTACTGGACCTGCTGCTGAACCTGGCAGAAGCCCTGACAATTGTACACTGTGTGGCTACGCCCCTGCTCCTGGCCCTGTTCTGCCACCAGGCCACCCGCACCCTCTTGCCCTCCCTGCCCCTCCCTGAAAGATGGTCTTCTCCTGTGGACACCCTTGGAAGCAAATCTTAGTTCTCTTCCCACCTGTCAACCTGAATTAAAGTCTACACTGCTTTTGTGAAGCGGGTGGTTTCTTATTTTGTCTGGGGAGAAGAAGGAGAGTGGAGAGAGAGACATTTTATGTCAGACTTTCTTGCCAGTGTCTGTTTCTATAGCTGGCCTGGGGAGAAGCTGAATGATAAATAAACACCCTCAGGGCACACAGATGTTCTCTTGAGGTGTGGGGTCACTGCCATCTCAAGGGAGAAGAGAAACCAGAACATGAGGGGGGGCAGTTAAACCGAAAAACCCAGAAGGGATGGCTTTGCTGGTAATGGAGGAAAAGCTCTTCCAGGAAGCAAATGGAACAGAAATCAAAACAGAGATAAACAGGGAAGAGTGATGACAAAGCCCAGAGCAACACCACCTCCTCCTCCCCATCTGACCTGCCCAGCCTCTCTCTGTCTCCTGTCTCCTGCCTGGCTTTGTTTAGAGATCGGTGGTGGTGGGGAAGGTGAAAGAAGCATCCCAGGGGATGTCACTCAGTTCGGGGAACATCTCAAGATAATTTTAATAGCCACTTCCTGGGAGTCATCTCTCCCAGGTTCCCCAGCATGACCCAAATGTGTGCATGCATGTGTGTGTGTGCGTGTGTGTGCGCACGTGTGTGCATACATCTGCTTCTCGATCTGTTAGAACCTACCTTTATGTTAGATGTATTCATATAATAACGTAGGTCCACCCACGAGATTGCATCTCTGTCAGCACCTGAACTACCCACACCTGTGTGTGTACACTGACTTTTCTCAGGACCCAACCCCCCACTCAATTCTGCACCCATCCCTGTTTCCAGGATATAGAGTCAGGATTTATGACTCACTCCTTACCCAAATGAGTTTTCCTTACCCTGGTTTTTAAGCCTCGTCTTTTCTGTGTAGGATGTGTGGAGGAAGAAAAGATCAAGAAGTTGTGAAGGGTGGAGAAACTTGAAGGGGGAGGCCCTGATCTGATTCATCTTCTGCTTGGAATTCCCCAAATTTCCCTTTCAAAATCTCAGGTTTTGAAATCAACCTTTCTTCCCCACATCTTTCTGTCCACCTTCTACACAATACCCCAATACCCTGAGCACCTCTTTCCCAAATATACCCCTGATTTCTCTGACTGCTTAATCAGATATTTTCCTTTGATATTTTCCTCAATCTCTACCTAGCCAAGTTTAGATGAGTGGAAGGACAGAAGCTTCTCCTCATTGGAGGCACAGATTTTACCACCAAGAACAAATTCACCCTCTACCTGAGAGGCTACAAGACAGTTTCTACCTCTAACCCAACTAAAGGCTGCGCAAACTTGAGCAGATACGTTACATCAGTTTGAACCCAATTACCATCTTTCCATTTTCCAAAGATATGCCATACCCCGCTTCCTCACTAAAGTGTTTCTGCTTGACTCTCTGGGCTTGGGAATAGTAGGCCAGTAAGGGACAGGTGCAGAGATGAGTTAGAATATCTTAGGCAGGAGGGTGCAAAAGGCTTAGGGAATTTTCCTGGGTGGGTGCCATGACAAAGCCTCTAAATCTCCCACCTCCTGTCTCTTAGCAACTACCAGGTTAGCTCCTGATTGGTTCATGATAAATTGAAAGGCAGGATTTAGGGACCGATTGAGACGCGGGAGACATTCTGAGACAGAAAGGAAGGGAAAGAAAATGAAGAAAAACGAAATACTTCACAAACCTCAGTTATGCTCTGGTTTCCAGCCACAGTTCATGGATGTGTCCTAGTCTAGCGTTTCCCCCTATTTTTTGTGAGCTCCTCTCAGTATCCCCTCCTGTCCCTGACCACTCTTCCCATTCTGCCAGATGTTGTTCTCCTCCCTTACGAGGTACTGATTTGGAAGCTGACCTAGTTGAGCGGGAGGAGAGGGCGTTTTTGACTCCCTGAATCTTTCAGTGTCAACCTGATACAAGGGAGGCTTCATTTAAGGCCACTAGGCTTGTCTTATCTGCCCCAACCCTGTGCCTCCGGATAGAAATCCCTCCTTTTAGACTCCTGGGTAACAGCCTGGCAGCTCTCAAGGTTTTTGCAAGGGAAAGGCAGCTGCAGAAGCCTGAAGCTGCTAAGAGGTTAGGGTGGGCTGGAGACAGTGCCCCACCCCCCCCCCCCGCCACATCCTCCCCATCCCCACGCCCACCAGCATTGCCCCAAGCCTTTCAGGCTGCCCTTTCCTGCCATGACCCATGCAGCATTTGGAGAGCTCCTCCTTACGTCTCACCGGGAACTTAATCATTTCTTTAAAGCTTTCCCGGGGACCTGCCACCCCATGCATTTAACCCACTGCATGCCACCAACCACTCTAAAATTGGTCTGAATCTGGCATTTTTTCTGCGACCCTTCAGGAATATAAATCCTGTCTTCTTAGAGCCCTTAAGAATTTAATCTTAGGGTTGGCAGGGACTTTAGCTGTGTATGAGATATTGGGCCTCTTGGCTAAAGAAAAAAAGTCCTCTCAGAAAGAGGAGAGCCAGGGAGGCAAGCTCTTGGGAAAACACAAGATCCTGAGGAAGGTCAGTTTGCTTTGCTTTCTAAAGGAGAGAGATCTATTATTCAAGGGAATTTTGAACATCATACTGATGCTCATAGTTCATTTATTCCAGGCTGCGACCCCTCCCTTAGGATTTAGAAAACAAATGCTTGGTCCTCACACCCTTTTTCCATTCCTATTTCCCTATCCCCCAACGCTACCACCACCTTCCTCCCTCAGAGGAATTCTGATGGAGAACTTCACTGGGATTTCAAACCCAATTCATCGCCAACTCTAATTGCCAGGGATTTGCATGAAAACCATCGTATGCTATCTAATTATTCTGACAACAGCAGCCCGCGGTCTGGGCACAAGGAGAATTGCAGTTTTAATTAACAATAATGCACCTTGCCGATGAATGTGACTGTTTAGGTTAATTAACAAGTCCATGTCCTTCCAAATCATCTCTAGACATCTTCTAGGTGATTTGGGCAGGAGGGGTATGGGGAACACAGGCAGGGATGGGGAATGTTTAAACATCAGTTCAGCAAAAGTGCATGTTAGCTTTCTTCTTTCCTGTAACTATTTGGTGAAGGGAAGGGAAAATCTTTGAGAGGATGGCTCTGGAAAATTGGTTAGGGGAATTTGGGAACATTTTTTTTTTTTTTTTGAGATGGAGTCTCGAAGTCTCACTCTGTTGCCCAGGCTGGAGTGCAATGGCATGATCTCGGCTCACTGCAACCTCCGCCTCCTGGGTTCAACAGATTCTTCTGCATCAGCCTCCCGAGTAGCTGGGATTACAGGCGTGCACCACCACGCCCGGCTAATTGTTTTGTATTCTTAGTAGAGATGGGGGTCTCACCAGGTTGGTCAGCCTGATTTTGAACTCCTGACTTCAGGTGATCCGCCCAACTCAGCCTCCCAAAGTTCTGGGATTTCAGGTGTGAGCCACTGCGCTGGCGGAAACATCATTTTAAGTGGACGTATCAGACACCTTCATGTAGCACTCAGATTTAGGAAATCTTCTGGACACATTTTTATAAATGAGAAGACTAAGTTCTTACAACTCTCTAGCATCTCAAAATAATTGCCCAGTTGTTTGCAAACTTGGTTTCCAGCATGAAAGCCTCAACTCCTGCATCAATACCATTTGCCCTCAGCTTTCTTTGTATGTTCCTACCACATCTGCAGTAGCTTAAAGTTACCTACTCCCTTAGGTTTCTTAGACAATGTCTTGAGTTTCACCCTTGCCTTCCTCAAAGACAATTGTATTTTTTTTCTTGGGTAGTTCTCTGTACCGTGGAAGAATACATTGTATGTAGCTCCAAACTGCACCTTTTATCTTTCTAGTGTTTCTAAGAGCATGGACCTAGTCTTCTTCCTCTAAATCAGGTATTACTAACATTTAGGGTATAGGAGGGGGGTTATAGGTCTCTTTGAAAATCCAATGAAAGTAATAAAGTTGCTTTTTAGAAAACTCTAACATTATACCCTATGTTTGTCATTTGGTTCTTCGCTGCTGCATTTGAGTTAATCCCAAGTGCTTCTGTACTATCTGGCAGGACTTCCATGATTAGCCAGTGGCCATGTCTCCCTGCTGCTCGTGAAGCTTTATGCCCAGGGGTGAATTTTGTTTTTTGAAGGGGCAAATCTCTTTTCCACTCTAAGAGTCTTTGCACTTGATATCTCTTCTGCCCAAAATGCTTTTTCCTGTGCTCTTTATGTGACTGGCACCTTCTCATCCTTGGGGTCTCTGTGCAAATGTCATCTCCCGCAAGAGTGACCTTCCCTGACATCCAGTGGAAGGTAACCTGGCCGTGCCGTGTGCCCAGTTGTTCTCTACCAATTCCCCTGGGATTTTCCACTGTAGCACTTATCACGTGTTAATTTTTTCTTTATTCATTTATTTGCTTACCAGTTTACTGCCTGTCTACCTCCTCCTTCCAACACTAGAAAAGAAACTTCAACCATGCAAGAGTCTTTTCTTTGACTTGCACGTGATCGGAGCTCAGGAAACGTCTACTAAGTACCCGAGTTAATTAATTTCATAAATAAAGATTCATTGCCCACACTGGAGAATTCACAGTCCAGACAGGGAAGAGGAACAAGCAAATAATTGGTGCAGAAAACTGACCTCCCATCCCCAAGTCTTCCAGAGTCTCTCCCATGTCATTCCACTGTATGGGGACTGAAGAGGCTGGAGAATCTTCAGTAGATTTCTGGCCTGTGAACCTGTTTTTCTAATGTCAATTTATGGCTGATTGGAGTTGAGGACTTCACCACAGTTCCCAAACCAGGCATTAAAGAAACAGTGCTTCCTTTCCTTTGGGATACTGCTGGTTTTCGGCCAGCAAGGGAAATCTGGGAAAGGTTGTCATTTTTTATCTTTGCTTGAGGAAGATGAGTCACTGAGACTCCCCCAGAGTTCTGGGAGACAAAGTCCTTCACTGGCTCCGAATCAAATTCACAGTCCAGCCACCTCCTCAGATTGCATCACGCTCAGGGAGAGCCCACTACTCCCCTTGGACCTAAAAGTCACTTTGGTCTCCATGTTGATATTTTTTTC